CCAGACCCACCCTTAAGGCAGGCTGAGCCAGCCAGAAAAAAAGCATTCTTAAAAGTCACAGTTAGGGCCGGGGAGATGGCTCAGTAGAATAAGCGTTTGCCTGGCAAGTGCAGGAGCCTGAGTTCAATCCGCAGTTCTGCCAAAAAAAAAAAAAAAGTCACAGTTAAGCAGTGTGGTAGTACATGCCTATAATCCCAGCACTCAGGAGGCAGAGGCAGGACAATCTCAAGTTTAAAGCCAGCCAGCCAGGACTACCTAGGAAGACCCTGTCTCAAAAGAAAAGAGGGATCTGGTCCCGCATGCTGCACTGGCCCTGCCCCAGGCTGACCTGGCGCCAGAGTCTAGGCATGGTGACACATGCCTGTAATCCCAGCACTGGGCAGGCTGAAAATAGGAGGATCACTATCAGTCTGAGCTGTGTAGTGAGACTCTGTACCAAACATGCAAAATAAAAAATAAGAGGGGGTGAAGGACATAGCTCAGTGGCATAGCACCTGCCTGGCAAGGTCCTGAATCCAATTCTCAGTACCAAACAAAAAAGTTGGGTGTGGTGTACACACCTGTGATCCCAGCACCAAAGCAAGTTCCAGCAAAACCTGAACTGCAGGGCCAGGGAGATGGCTCAGTGGAATAAGCACATCCCTGGCAAGCACAAGGACCTGAGTTCAATCCCCAGTTCAAGAACAAACCAAAAACCAAAAACCAAAAAACCTGAACTGCATGGCAAAACCTTGTCTGAAAAAGACTAAAAGAAAGGCCAATGGCAACTAATGATGGTGGCTGGTGACCAAGTGACCCTTAGACAAGTGGATCTGGACTTCAAGATCCCTTGGCAAATGTTGAACAGAGAGCAGCAGAGGGACTAGATCCTGCAAAGGACAAGAGGAGGCAAGGACAAGCTCTGGTCCTCAGGGTAATGGCACAAAGTGACCTGGAAGAGGCCCCAGGGTCATGCCATGGGCCCTACAGCCCAGATGGAAATTTTTTCTCAGTGCTATGGGTGGGACTCAAGACCTTCTGCATGTTAGGCAAGCATTCTGCCGCTGAGCAACCTGGGGGCTGCACTTTTGCCCCGGGAGAGCTTTCTCTCACACATTCAATCAACAAGCCTTCCCAGAGCCCTTCCTTTGTGTCAAGCAATGAATTTTTTTTCTTGCAATACTGAGCATTAAACCCAGGGCCTCACACATACTAAGTGAATGTTCTACTATTGAGCTACACTTCCAGGACTTTTCTAAATTTTATTTTGAGACAGAATCTCACTAGGTTTTCCATACTGACTTTGAAATTAAGGTTACTCTGCTTCAGCCTCTTTATTTATTTATTTATTTATTTATTTTATTTTGCAGAACCGGGGACTGAAC